TTTGACTTCCTGGCATTTATTTTTAAGGAGTAAATCTTTTAAATCAGCCATAATAAAAAAAGCAGTCTTTTCTCTGAAATTATTCTGAGATTCTTACTGTTGTTATTTTTTTTTTTAAGTATTTCTGTGGCTAAGGACATGTTCATTAAGGTAAATGTTACTACTTCCAGAAACAATGGTAGAAAATTAAACGTGGAGATCTTGACTCTGCATATATAAAACCAAGCTGCTGGCATGCAGGAAGCTTGTAATAAACCAATTTAAGTAAAACGTTGAGTATTTATGTTTAGTTCAATCTAGATTAATAAATATTTACGTGTGATTTTCCTCTTTGCTTCACGAGATTATACAAGCGGAAACTGTTGTGTTAAATGCCAGTGAAGCATGTTGCTGTTTTTGAGAAAAGAATATTTTTTCTACCTAAAAGAAAAGCAGGGAGCTAGCTTCTTAGGGAGTGGGAGGTTGCTTCATTTTGTTTCTTGATGCACAGTTTGAGTAAAAAGGCACAGTTCAGTGAAGTCTATATCCTTCTGGGGGCAAGTTGGTATTTGTACTATGCAGGGGAAAATCCCTTCAGGGTCAAGGAGTCTGGTGTTCTGCCCCTGCGGGCAACCATGTCAGTCCCTCTCGCACGCACACACCACCTTGTGAGCTCTAGTTATAAAGCTGTTGTTTAATTTTCTTCTCCCTCTACCCCTAACAGAAGTCTGGTCTGTAATAGTACTATTCTGATAGGCTGGCTACGAGTAAAATCCAGCCTTGGAGAATCTGAGGACTGTTGTTGCTGGTCATGTAGCTTATGCAGTTACACTGGACTCTTGACTGCTTCCCTGCTTCTTACTTCAAAGCAAGTGGGTTTTTTTGTTGTGTGTTTTGGTTTTTGTTCTTTAACATCGTATATAATCTTCTGGAGAGAAGCAATACAGTGTATTTTCAGAGCTGAGGAGTTGAAAGTGATAGAGTGGTAGAATGTAGGTATATAGCTGCAATATTGGGTGCAAAATATCACTTAAAATCTGATTCTTGGGAGCTTCGCTAGCTTTATCTGGTGCTTTTTTTTTTTTTTTTTTTTTAAATAATATATCTCTTATAATGATCTAAATGTCATAGCTAACTTCCAAAATTATTGCTTGTTTCCCTCTTGTTTCTTTCCAATGACAAAGATTCAGTCAAGCTGCTGATGGCTGTCACAGAGCGCTGTTCAAGTCTGATCGTGTTCATTGGCTTACACCAGCTAGTGGATTGCGTTTTTCAGTGCTGATGTTTCAGCAGATGCTCTTTTTTGGGGTGAGGAACTGAGAGTGAAGTCCACAGTGTCGCAGTGTCAGATGAAAGCTCCCAGCTACTCAGTTCAGAGCTGAAGGCTGCAAATTGCAAGGTGGAGACGGATATCTCACTTGAAACATGGCTTTATGCCTGCAAAATGCACCTTCCATGCCCTGGTCACACACACATGCTTATCTTATTGGAAATATCTTTTAAAATATTGTCTGGGAGAATAGATAATAAAAATACAAATAGAACTGAAGTGCCTCTGTAGGGTATGTTTCTTGGGTGATTTCCTGTGTGGTAGCATAACAGCTGTAGTTGTGGCTAATTAGTATAAGAAACAACTGGGCTTTGTTTTTTTGTTGTTGTAGGCTCACTGAAATGCTGAAACTCTTGTTGCACTCACTTTTCCCACAAGCCAGTACCCACAAAGAGCAAACTCAGAACGACAGCCTAATATTCTCCTGAAAGTAAACTTCATTTAAATCTTGGCTTCTGAAACCTGTTATGAGATGGTATCAAGAAAACTGCAGGCTCAGAATACTTCAACTGACTTGTGTAGCTGTGGCTGCAGGGTTTGACTGGGAGGCCACTGAAAGAGGTCAGAAACTGATAATGTCTATAGCTGCAGGAGATACCTTCAGTAAATAGCTGGACAGTTGTTGCTGTTAGACCTGAGCAAAAAGCCATGGAACCAGGGAAGGAAGTACGTGCTACAAATGCGATCAGAAGTAATAGTTACAAAAGTTGTGTGAGGTTTTTGTTTCTTTTTAATCAACCCTTCTTATATAAAAAAGAAATACCCTATTTGGGATAAATTGGTCTAGGTAATATTGCTTAGTCCTTCCTCTAATCTAAAAAGATAGTCAACATCTAGGTTGCAGGGAGTTCTTCAGTTCTTATTTTTGTTCCCCTGCTGTCCCGAACAGGCTTATTCTTAAATACAATATCCAGTGAGATTTCAGAAAGTATTTATTTCTTTCTTCCCCACCTTTTCCAAATCCACATCACTTTTAGTTCTCTGGAGAACTAAACATCATGACTAAAGGTTTCTGTCACAGCTGGTATGTGGACCAAGGATTTTCAAATCGCGTGATACCAAAGCTCCAAGTTGTCTGCTGAACAGAAAAATTAGTGCAAATAATATGTGTAAGTTGATCATCCTGACTCTCATATCTTGTCCTTATTCTTTCCAGATACTTTGCAAGACAGGGGAATTAATAATGTCTTCAGAACACGGAGCTAACAAACGGCATCATAACCCAGTGGAGAGTATATGCAGAAAGATCAAATCTATCCAAATGATGGACCAAGTCTGTAACCCTGCTTTGCAGATACCAAAATTTCAGTCCCGGAACTTTGACAGTCCACAGTGCAATATCAAAAAAAATCTAGAAGAAATACTAAAGAAAAGAACTTTTAGAAGTCATGATAGTACTGGTCCACACTTAATCAGTCCCAGTAGTGAAAGTGTTTTCTCTGCAGACTTGCAGTTGCTGTCACCTTGTCTAAGGCATATCTCTGACTCCTGTTCTGCAAATGCTACCTATTCAATCATTAAAAGCAAAGAGAAATCCAGCAACTCATGGATGCCAGTATGCCCCATGGAGAACTGTTCTCCATCCTACTTCAGATCCAGAGAGGCTAACACCCAGAACAAACTGTGTGCTTTATCAAATATTGAATCTAAAGATGTACCTCGTGAACAGAAGTATCTTACGTCAAGTCCAAATTTATATTTCTTCACATCTGATAAAAAGTCAGAAAGCGCTGTGATCCAGCCATCTCCTGTGCCAAAGAGATTATCTTTGAGTGAAAGAGGTAAAAATCCTGGAAAAAACACCTCCCAATCCAAAATCCTAGACATCTGAACATTCAGCCTACATAAATGACATTTATTTACTACTTAAACTAGTAACAATACGTTACAAATCTAATAAGACTGCAAAAAGAGCTGAGTAAAATCTTAAATTTTCTCTAAAAATATTAATGTGAGTGTAAAAAGTAAGGAAGTAATGAGTCAAGTAAAAAACTTTTTCAAATTTGCCAATTCCTTTTTGTGGATAAGGGATTTGGCTATTAATTTAGTCTGCCTTTAATATAAAAAGATATGAGTTTGGGGGTGTTTTTTTTGTTTGGGGTTTTTGTGGTTTGGGTTTTTTTGGTGGGGGGTGGTGGTGTTAGGATTGTTTTCTTAATAACTTAATCTGACCATGATGATCTCTCTACAATATATCTGGAGGGGGAGGGAAGAAATAGCTGGCCTCTTAAAATGTTCTGGTTTATGTTTACTTCATGCAAAATAATAGCCAGAGTTGCCAAATGTGCATGTGTAAAAGTAGATGCATAAACCAGTTCCCAACTTAGAGGCTCCAGCTATGAACAGTTCCTGGTGTTATTTGGCAGTAAAAGCTCTGTTTTTACTTGTTGGAGGGAGGGGAGGTTTGGTTTTTTTAATCACCTTAAAAAAAAAAAAAAGTGTCATTCAAGCTGTGGTATGCTATGTGTGCTCATGCTATTACAAACATCATACTGTAGTTAGAAGCTGCAGTGCGTGAAAGTTACTATGAGCAAATAAAGATGGACAATAACAAACTTATTCTTCATAGGATGTAGGCAGTCACTGGGGTACAAAGCTGACAACATGTACGATGTGAGCTTGATCTGTGAAGAAGACTTACTGACCACTATCTTCTGTGCATGCGACATAGAGCATACAGGTTTGCCAGTGGCTTTTTGTTGCTCTGTTTTATTCTCTTCTCAGCACATTTTCAAGGCTGAGATCATGTTACAGTTCCTGAGACATGGCAATCTGTGATTGAGCCAATCTTGGACTGACTGCCTACCTTAGCTAGGTGGCTGTACGTGTGGCAGATGCAGAATAAATGTCTGTGCCTCTTTTGCATGGTGCCTGCCTCTTCCCTTCCCCGCTCCCAGCTGATCTTTGCTGTATTTTAGTGCAGAGGAAGTAGAGGAGCAACGTGCTTCTAGCAATCAACCTTATTGGAAATGACTGTTTATTTCTTTTAGGCTTTTTCTTGTTAGAAAAGAGAACTTTTGGAAACTTCAGAGCGAGGGATAATTCTTCTGAGTTCCACCTCAAACATGACTGAAAGTGGTAGAAAAAGGAGTGTAGCAGAGTAAGATGGTGTCAGTCACAGGGTTTGCCCAATTTGATGAGAGGCCTGAAAGCAGTAGCATAGCAAGTGAGGCAAGTTTGTTTTTCTTAAACTGAAGTCAACAAAACTAGTAAACTGGACTTTCATAATTCTGAATTAAAAAAAAAACAACAAAA